GCATCATGATATGGGGATGTTTCTCAAACTACAGTGTTGGGCCTATTTATCGCATACCAGGGATCATGGATCAGTTTGAATACATCAGAATACTTGAAGAGGTCATGCTGCCTTATGCTGAAGAGGAAATGCCCTTGAAATGGGTGTTCCAACAAGACAACGACCCCAAACACATCAGGAAACGTACAACATCTTGGTTCCACACCAACAAGATTGACGTTATGGAGTGGCCAGCCCAATCCGCGGATCTTAATCCAATAGAAAACTTGTGGGGTGACATCAAAAATGCAGTTTCTGAGGCAAAACCAAGAAATAGAGAAGAACTGTGGAATGTAGTCCAATCATCCTGGGCTGGAATACCTGTTCACAGGTGCCAGAAGTTGGTTGACTCCATGCAACACAGATGTACAGCAGTTCTCAGAAACAGTGCTTATACAACTAAATATTCATTAAGTGATTCAAAGGAAAGCAAAATCTTCAAACATTTTTCAGTTTATATAGTGAATGTTTGAGTTTGTAAAGAACAATACAAACACTGCTATTTTTTTGAACAGTCTAATATTCACTTTTCTTCAATTTTTTTAGAGGAACAACACAAATGTGATATATTTTTCTTCATGTTTTGATTTGGAATAGAATGTGTAATGTTCCCAATGCATTTGTGTGGATGGAAATAAAAGCTATTAGAAGGATTTTGAGCTTTATTCACTTTTTTCAACACACTGCTATTATTTTGAACACAACTGTATAAATGATATAGGGTCTGGGATTAAAAATACAATTTCAGTCTTTGCAGATGACACCAAGCTGTGCAGTGGAATAACATCCTTACAGGATGTCTTCAATTTACAAGCCAACCTCAATGTACTGTTTAATTGAGTACCTATGTGGCAAATTTCTGGTAGATCACAAGCTTAATAATGGCATGCAATGCCAAGCTGCAGTTTCTAGAGCGAGCAAAATCCTCTCTTGTATTAAAAGAGGTATAGTCTCCAGAGAGACAGATATAATTTTACTCCTGTACAAATCATTAGTAAGACCTCATCTGGAATATGCAATTCAGTTTTGGGCACCAATTCACAAAAAGAACATTAGGGAACTGGAGAAAGTGCAGAGAAGGGCAACCAAACTGATAAGAGGCATGGAGGAGCTCAGCTATGAGGAAAGATTAGAGGAACTGAATTTACTCTCTTGAGAAGAGGAGTTTAAGGGGGGATAGGATCAACATGTATAAATACATTAGTGGTTCATATAGAGAACTCGGTGTAGTTATTCACCCCGAGGTCATCACAGATGAGAAGGGGCACTCTTTACATCTGAAGGAAAATAGATTCAGTCTCCAAATACAGAAAGGTTTCTTCACAGTAAGAGCTGTGAAAATGTGGAATGGTCTCCCTCAAGAGTTGGTTCTGGCCAACTCAGTGGATTGCTTTAAAAAACGCCTGGATTCTTTCCTAGATACACATAATATAACTGGATACTAACATTTCTAGGTAAAGTTGATCCAGGGAATATCCAATTGCCTAAGCATGATCCAATTTGCTCCTGCAGGGAAAAAAAATCCTTCCTTCGGATATTCTTTACCTTGATTATAACTTTTTTTTTTTTTTTTTTTTATGATTGCGCTAGATAGACTTGTCTTTTTTCAGCCAGACTAACTATGTAACTATGTAAGAAATGACTGGCTCCTGGTGCTGCACCAGCTGCTCCCAGTCTGAGCTCCATTGTACAGGGCATTACAAGAGACTCTTACCACATCATATTCAGGTACTTAGTGCAGTACTAATTGTAGTTAAAAAAAAATATATATATATATATACCATATTTTTTGCTCCATAAGACGCACCTAGGTTTTAGAGGAGGAAAACAAGAAAAAAAATATTCTGAACCAATGGACTGCAGACATAGTACAGGAACTGACCAGAGACTGCGAACGTACTACATGAGATGACCAGAGACTGCAGACTTAGTACAGGAGATGACCAGAGACTGCAGACGTAGTAGAGGAGATGACCAGAGACTGTGGACACAGTACAGGAGATGACCTGAGACTGCAGACATAGTACAGGAGATGACCAGAGACTGCAGACATAGTACAGGAGATGACCAGAGACTGCGGACATAATACAGGAGATGACAAGAGACTGCAGACCTTTGGGGAGTGGGTACCTGAATTTGACAGGTACCCACTCCCACTTTCACTGCGATCGCCTCCCCGTAGTCCCTCCCTCCCCGTAGTCTTCTGGGACATGTGTCAGGTCCCAGAAGACTATGGGGCCATTCACAAAGCTCAGCGCTTCTCACGCATGTGCAGTAGGCACCCGGCTGTGAAGCCGCAAGCTGTCACAGTCAGGTGCCCACACTAAAGATGCAAGCGCCAGGCAGAGAAGACGGCCGGTGAAACCAGCAGTGGTGAGGACACCGTTGGACCGAGGAACAGGTAAGTGGCTGTATTTTTTTTTTCAGCTGGAACTCCGCTTCAAGGGGCAGCTGCTTTGGGCCCTGCCTGGCGCTGCTGCATAGAAGAGCCGAGCCGGCCCAGTGTTCTAGCATGGCGGCAGTGACGAAGGGGGTAATATCGGGCCAGCCGCTCCATAAGACGCACAGACATTCCCCCCATTTTTTGCGTCTTATGGAGTGAAAAATATGGTATGTGTGTGTGTATGTATGTATATATGTGTTTGTGTGTGTGTGTGTGTGTATATATCAACCACCTAAGCATGCAGACTGCTTCTACAAACATTTGTGAAAGAATGGGTCGCTCTCAGGGGCTCAGTGAATTCAAGCGTGCTACCATGATAGGTTGCCACCTGTGCAATAAGTCCATCTGTGAAATTTCCTTGCTACTAAATATTCCACAGTCAGCTGTTAGTGGTATTATAACAAAGTGGAAGCAACTGGGGACAACAGCAACTCAGCCACAAAGTGGTAGGCCAAGTAAAATGACAATGCACAGAAGTTGCCAACTGTCTGCAGAGTCTAAAGCTAAAGACTTCCAAACTTCGTGTGGCCTTCAGATTAGCACAACAACAGTGTGTAGAGAGCTTCATGGAATGGATTTCCATGGCCGAGCAGCTGCATCCAAGCCTTACATCACCAAGTGCAATGCAAAGCATCAGAAGAAGTGGTGTAAAGCACGCCACCACTGAACTCTAGAGCAGTGGGGACATGTTTTCTGGAGTGACGAATCATGCTTCTCTGTCTGGCAATCTGATGGACGTGTCTGTGTTTGGCGGTTGCCAGGAGAACGGTACTTGCATGACTGCATTGTGCCAAGTGTAAAGTTTGGTGGAGGGGGGATTACGGTATGGGGTTGTTGTTCAGGGGTTGGGCTTGGCCCCTTAGTTCCAGTGAAGGGAATTCTTAAAGCGTCAGCATACCAAGACATTTTGGACAATTTCATGCTCCCAAGTTTGGAGATGGCCCCTTCCTGTTCCAACATAACTGTGTACCAGTGCACAAAGCAAGGTCCATAAAGTTATGGATGAGCGAGTTTGGGGTGTAGGAACTGGCCTGCACAGAGTCCTCTTGGGGTGGAGGAAGTGACTGACCTGCACAGAGTCCTGACCTCAACCTGATAGAACACCTTTGGGATGAATTAGAGCAGAGACTGTGAACCAGGCCTTCTCATCCGAAATCAGTGCCTGACCTCACAAATGCTCTTTGTGACGAACCGTCCCTTTGTGATAACATTTTGCCCTTTCTGTTCCAGTTTTTTCCCCTTTGTAAAGCTGTATACGTTTCACAGACATTCTACACTGTTTGTTTAGGGTAATGTGACCTTGTAGTCTTTCACTTCTAATAGAGTTCGTACTGTATTGTTGGTTGTAGGTTTTTTTGTTGTGGGTGGGGAAAACCCGGTGCCAGGCTGTCTGGTGGAGTGGGGGTGAAGCTGTATATACTGAGCTGTGTTTAATAAAGAGTCATTCATTTTCACCCTACACGAAGTTCCCACTCGTGGTTTGGGAGAGCAGGGAAGGGAGTGTTTTGAGCTCTAATACCTGCCTTGGCAGAGAGCTGGAAGCCTTGCTGGAAAAGGGGACCATTGGCTGAGACGCATCGCTCCGCACGAGGAAGCCCAGGCGGAACGGTTCCGCCACACTCTTTTAGAAGAATGGTCAAACATTCCCATAGACACACTCCCAAACCTTGTGGACAGCCTTCCCAGAAGAGTTGAAGCTGTTATAGCTGCAAAGGGTGGGCCAACTCAATATTGAACTGTATGGACTAAGACTGGGATGCCATTAAAGTTCATGTACGTGTAAAGGCAGGCGTCCCAATACTTTTGGCAAGTGTTTTATTTTATTTTTTTTCTAAATAAATACACAACTGTAGTGTTTTCTTTATATCTGCCTGGTGTCCATGTATTCTCTGATTTTCTTCACGGTCTCAACTGTGTTTTTTGGGTTTGGGACAACCTACATGACAAAGACAATATAATTTTCTGGGGCAGCACAGTGGCTAAATGGTTAGTACTTCCGCATGGCAGTACTATGGTCGTTGGTTCGAATCCCAGCCACGTCACCACTTGCCTGGAGTTTGCATGTTCTCCCTGTGCCTGCGTGGGTTTCCTCCGGGTACTTCGGTTTCCTCCCACACTCCAAAGACATGCTGGTAGGTGAATTGGATCCTGTCTAAATTGTCCCTAGTATGTATGAATGTAATTTAGGGACCTTAGATTGTACACCCCTTGAGGGTTAGGGACTGATGTGAATGTATATAATACGTATGTAAAGCGCTGCGTAAAATTGATGGCGCTATATAAAAACCTGAAATAAATAAATACATTTCTAAACCAATTAAAGTGTAACAAAAAACGCTTAAAGTTTTTTATATGTTGTGTTTTTATAGTCATTTGTAACTTTGGGGTTGTGCTCCCTGTTTATAGACTACAGGAACAAAGTAAAAACTCTTAATTGTGGCTTAATAGTGTTTAAGTTGTGTGAGCTACGTAACTCTGCTTCAATGAGTCACATACCTAATTGGAGTATTTGTGTTAGATTTCAGAAGACACATGGATCGTATGGGAAGAAGGCAGTTTCCACATGCTGGTTACAGATTTGACTTTGAAGATGAAAGCCATGGATGGAGATTCAACCTCGACATGATTATGATATATTTTTACTCCATGAACTGGGTCATTGGATTTATTGTATTGTGTGTCTTCTCTTGTATTACTTCTTTCTCTCAGCATGACAAAAATACTTATTGATCATAAATAACACAATAGTTGTTAAACACCACATTCGTTGAATAAACTTCTATTTTCGAATGTGTTGCGATGGGAGAGTTTGTTCATAATATCAGCCTTTACATAACCAGAGAGTCTGTTTAGAAATCACTTCACATCATCACTCCCTAACATAATTAAACCTCATATTATCAACGGGGAATTACCTTTCCCAGGAGTAAAATAGAACTGCATAGCTTACTGGCTAAGACCAGGGTCAATGGTTCAAATCCTGGTCAGAAACTATCTGCATGGAGTTTACATGTTCTCTCTATGTTGTGTGACGTAATTGTCTAAACTGGCCCCATTATGCATTTGCGGGTCTAAAAATCCCAACCGCAAACTCCTATGTGAGACCCTGGTACCACTCCTTTGAATGACTACTGCAGCTCTGGTACACATTTCAGGCATGGAGCAAAATAAAAAGGAAGGTTCCACAGTCATGGTTGTAGGGATGAGAGGAACTGTACATGTAAAGCTTGTTCTTCTGGCACCTCCACCAATTTGAGCTCAAAGTTAGGTTTTCAAAAGCACTATGATCTGAGGCCATGTTCCTTGGGAGCTGTTACAGGTATAAGATTACTTCAGCGTAAAGTACCTTTCTCCAAGTTAACCTCTGGCAATGGTCATATAACCATCGGTCACAAAATCTCAGCAAAGAAGTATTATTGTTTAATTCAGGACACTAGTCAGCAATTCATGAATTTTATGCTCATTCTCTAGGGACCATGCGACCAGTCCGCTAAGATTTGAAGTTGTATAAAGACAATTTTTTTTTTTTCTTTTAAGTCCCCATTCTCACTTGCTCCAAAGCACACAACATCCAAAATCTCATGGTTTACAATTGTACCTCTTCACGCCTGAGCATAGTATTCCTTGAAGTGTGTAGCTCAAAAGAACCTCATGTACATTTTCAAGCTGCAAGCTTCAAGTGTTTTTTGGTCCAAATAGATTTCAATACGAGTGCCTGAAAAACACGTACATAAACATGAACATAAACAGAAAAACTTGCAAAAGCGCACATATTTTGTATATTTTTGCCTAGTAGCTATCTTTTTATTGACTAAAAATAATTAATGAAAAAAAATACTCAAGTTTCAGACATCTGCAAAAATGCCTGTACATACACACAAAAAATTAGACTGCTTATGGCCTTATTGGCTTACTTGCAGTTTCCGGATCCTGTCACCCTGCAGGAGAATACTTAATGAAGGATCACAGGGACTTGGGAATGGGAACACACAAAACAGAGTGGCAAGTCCCAGGGGAAACCTCAAGTTTCTCTCATGTCGATAGTAGTTTCCCCGTCCTAGAGAATGGTCTTCCACCAAACTCACTCTAACCCTCAGAGGAATTTCATTGTGCCTGTAAATCCCATCTTGGAGTACAGGACATAGGTCTCTCCACTCTACTCTGTGACTTCTTATTGCTTGCTAATAAAACTGGAGTCTCAAGAGTGGGCAGGGTTATATAGGTGTACTAGTGGGTGGACATAGTGAAGACCAGTCACCAGCGGTGTCCAATCACCTAAAAGTAGTAGCATATATGTAATCCAGTCTGTGAATCGATTCCTGTATCCTGTACTGTTCTCGCATGAAAATACCTCTTTTTTGAATAGAAGCATTGTAAGTATTTGAATTTGATCTGGCACTGGCCTTTTGCATCCCTGTAGTGCATGGCTGAAGTGTGAGAGGAAGAAGCAGTAAAAGGAGCCAGTCAGTTTGTGTGCTGATGAGGATCATATGAAGTAGAGCAGCGTGAAGAGACGAGCTCAGCACTGTTGGTTGTTCCTTTTCTGTCCAGTCACAGCCTGGGGCAGGACAAAGAAAGCTAAAAAGACTAAAAAGAATGTTGGGACTTTGCATATAATTTAGAGAAAAAAAGATATTTAACCCTAAACTACAAAAATATAAAGGGTCGGCAAGCTCAGAAGTGATATTTTATGTTTTTGGTAGATGCATTAAACTAAAATCTACACATCTGTTTCTTATATCTCTCAGGAAGCTATGTTGGTTACAGTACCATTACCTATTCCTAGGTCTAAACACCTACCAAAGAGATAAGAAAGTGCCACCCCACATGTTTTATTATGGAGAATGCAGCATGCAGACCATTTTGTAAGGAGGAAAAATGCAACCGAATACCTGAGCTCTTGCGCTGGACAATGGACTTCACAATGTCAATATCCCCACATGTGTATGAAAAGAATGCAAGCCTTGCTGTCCTCAACGGACCAGGGAAAACGAAAGAAAACTGTATATAAAGAGAGACAAAAAGAGGGAGGAAGAGGTACAACCTTGAAACGCGTCAGCCACCAGCTGTTCAAAGGTCTACAGTCTCCCACCAGACTGCCTTCAGGGGTTTTGGAGCACATTGCATCTCTTGTGACATGCTTTCCATTTGATTTTATTTCATTTTATTTAATGCACTAGGCCCGTGCGCCCTCTTTTTGTCTGTTTATATACAGACCATTTTGTAACCACAAGTGTAGTGATAATCCAAGGTCAGTTGCAGTGCAGAGCCATGAATTAGTCCATGGGACCCCTTCTATTAAAGACCCCAAAGGGTATAAAGAAACCAGTTTGTGACTCTACGAGACTCCAGTGATAGAAAAATCTATTATTTTCGGTGGACTCCATGAAGCTCTACGTGCAATCTATTTTAAAGTATTTTTAAACTCTTATCTTGTGAATCAATCCTTTCAATTTAAAATAGAAAAATGAAAAGCAAGCCATATGTGTGTGAGATATATATATATATATATATATATATATACAGTGGTGTTCAAAATAATAGCAGTGTGTTGAAAAAAGTGAATAAAGCTCAAAATCCTTCTAAAAGCTTTTATTTCCATACACACAAATGCATTGGGAACACTACACATTCTATTCCAAATCAAAACATGAAGAAAAATATATCAAATTTGTGTTGTTCCTCTAAAAAAATGGAAGAAAAGTGAATATTAGACTGTTCAAAAAAATAGCAGTGTTTGTATTCTTCTTTACAAACTCAAACATTCACTATATAAACTGAAAAATGTTTGAAGATTTTGCTTTCCTTTGAATCACTTAATTAATATTTAGTTGTATAAGCACTGTTTCTGAGAACTGCTGTACATCTGTGTTGCATGGAGTCAACCAACTTCTGGCACCTGTGAACAGGTATTCCAGTCCAGGATGATTGGACTACATTCCACAGTTCTTCCTATTTCTTGGTTTTGCCTCAGAAACTGCATTTTTGATGTCACCCCACAGGTTTTCTATTGGATTAACGATCCGGGGATTGGGCTGGCCACTCCATAACGTCAATCTTGTTGGTCTGGAACCAAGACGTTGCACGTTTACTGGTGTGTTTGGGGTTGTTGTCTTGTTGGAACACCCATTTCAAGGGCATTTCCTCTTCAGCATAAGGCAGCATGACCTCTTCAAGTATTCTGATGTATTCGGACTGATCCATGATCCCTGGTATGTGATAAATAGGCCCAACACCGTAGTATGAGAAACATCCCCATATCATGATGCTTGCGCCACCATGCTTCACTGTCTTCACAGTGTACTGTGGCTTGAATTCAGTGTTTGGGGGTCGTCTGACAAACTGTCTCCGGCCACTAGACCCAAAAAGAACAATCTTACTTTCATCAGTCCACAAAATGTTGCGCCATTTCTCTTTAGGCCAGTCAATGTGCTCTTTGGCAAATTGTAACCTCTTCAGCACGTCTTTTTTTCAACAGTGGGACTTTGCGGGGCTTCTTGCAGATAGCTTGGCTTCACATAGGCGTCTTCTAATTGTAACAGTACTCACAGGTAACTTTAGACCTTCTTTGATCTTCTTGGAGCTGATTGTTGGCTGAGTCCTTGCGATTTTGGCTAGTGTTCTATCCATTCGAATGGTAATTTTTCGCTTTCTTCCACGTCTTTCAGGTTTTGGTTGCCATTTTAAAGCATTTGCGATCATTTTAGCTGAGCAGCCTATCATTTTATACACTTCTTTCTATGTTTTCCCCTCTCCAATCAACTTTTTAATCAAGGTACGCTGTTCTTCTGAACAATGTCTGGAACAACCCATTTTCCTCAGAATTTCAGAGAGAAACGCACTATAACCAGCATGTACAACATTTGCTGCCTTCCTTCCTTAAATAAGGGCAATAATTGACACCTGTTTTTCAAAGAATGAATGACCTCACTAATAGAACTCCACTGCTATTATTTTGAACATGCCCCTTTCAATTAGTGATTCAATGACACAGAATCAGCAGCATGCATGTCATGACTGTTGGGTCTGTTGGATTTCTATTACTCTACTACACCTGCTAGTAAATTATTTGCCATGTAGAAATATAATTTCTACCAAAAACAGTGATTGATGAGGTTAGTGATGTCTGACTGCTATTATTTTGAACACAACTGTATACACACACACACACACACACACACACACACACACACTGATCTTCCCAGTAAATGGCTGGGGGGGGGGGGGGGGGGGGGGACATGTCAGAACAGGTCTGATCATTGGAGGAGAGCTAGAGTTTCCAGCTATAAAACTGATCACAGTGTGTTCTCCTGCCAGAAGCAATGCAAAGAGACCAGGATAATTTTTCATGCAAGTACATCAAACAGCAGGCACATATCAGGAATACGAAATGTTGGATTTACATTTTCTTTCAACCCAAAAACCTTCAACAAATATGTTATGATATCCAATGTTTTTGACTGTTTTGTTCATTTGAAAAATTAGAGTGTTATAGCTATGTGTGGCTGCTCAATATCAGCTTGTTTGAACCAGTTCGCATTATTCAGCCAATGTTTTACCTGGTGGACACCGTGCAATATAATGTTATAGGTGGGTTCAGACACATAAGATGCTATTAATTAAAAAAAAAATGGAATACTGGAATAAATACAGTGAAAGGATAAGCAGGGTTGATGTTCATAGCTACCTGTCAGATTCACTGTTTCATTATC